GTCATGCAGCAGAACACATTCGGCAGCACTGGTGATTGCAGTGTTTGACGCATGAGGTTCTTTGTAATAAGATGACGATATAATGGCATAACTGTAATCTCTATGCATTTCTACACAGGTCAATAAAGTGATTATGTCGAAGACAGGGTTTCACAAAAAACGACAACAAAAGCAAAACAAAACAAAGGAACATCCAAAAGCCCCCCCCCCCCCCCTAAGCAAAATCATCGGATGTCTCCCTCTTCGTTGTATTATTTTTTTTACCTACTTTAACTTAAATAAAAGCTGGAAGACATCGGAAGATGTCCCTTTGAACGCATTAGAACATCAATTAGTACGTTTAGAAGGACGGCTAGTCGAGTTCTTCACCTGCACGATATTCAGATTGCAAATAAGAGAAAATAAGCATTCACAACACCGCGAAATCGTGCTGGAATCTGGTGGGGAGCTGGAAAAGCACAGGTAAAGTTACCATCTTTGTGTTGCTGTAAACTTTCAGCTGTTCAGAGGTCAACCTCAAAATTATGGAGGTGGAATATGCATCCCAGTCCCATCTTTAAACGATACGAGAATTCGTATCGTTGAGTAGTTCAGCCGTTATCCTTTCGAAAAACTTTCGGATGGGTTATTTCACAACGGTCGTGCTCGCGCGCCCGCTGCCCGCCGTCTGATGTCTGCAGCGACCAAGGTCGCCCGGTTTGGAGGGGACCGCAGCCTCGGCCCGTCGATATTCCTGCTTCTAAGGTTATAAGCATAGGTTCGAAACGTTTCATACAATGCGGCTCAATATTCGATTCTGGAGAAGGATTGACGTTCTCAGGTCACATGAGTTGGCCTTTTCATTTCTTACCTCTTTTCGATTCTCGCTATTGAATACTGATGAGACCATTACCTTTTTCCGGGCGAGGAGAAAGTTTCTTTTAGTGTGTTTGACATTTTTTATCTCTTTTGTCTCAGTGATGAATGTTCTGGTGTTTTGCAATGTTGAACATGGCATCCATATACTATGGATTGTTTTCGCTCTAGAAGTACGGGTTTCACATGCAAATTTTAGGAACATAACGGTTCCTAATCCGAGACAGCAGCTCCGTATATCTCAATTTCTTCCATCCGGCACCATGTTTATGTGTATTGGGCAGTGCGAGAACGCAATTCAGTTTTCAAGTTGCCTTCGATGCGGTCGATATTCTTCAATATTTTGGAGCCTCCGTGTGGGGTCGGCGTAAGCTGCCGACCGCCTTACACTGATTTTGAACCACCTGTTTATTGGCTCAGACGCTTTTTGCTTTGGATGTGGGTTAAAACTATGAAGTAATGGGGTACTGGATCCGTCGCATATCACGGCCATTAAGCGTCCGCCACAGGAGTGCAGTTAGTGAAACAGCTTTGAGGTGTTGGCCGGAGAAAACAGCTAAGCCCTCCAAGACACACTAAAAACAAATTTTCCCCGATTTGACATACCTTTCGGTCAAAGTTTGATAGCTTGAGTCTTACCTCGCTGAAAAGGGAGTTTTTCAGACACATTTTCTCGCTCTGGCTTGGTGTAAGATGTTGTCACCGGGCATGATCATAATTTTTTAACTACTTTGCCACGGAGAAACCAGCAGGTAGCCACAAGGCAGGCTTCAGGCTGTAACGCAGCGCTGACGTCGAGCGAACGCCCAGTGCAGTTTGCTCACCATCGTCGGACGATTACCGCCTAAGGTTTAGTCAGGTGATTTTGATCGTCAGCATGACATGCCTGTTTCGCTTTATATTCACGTCAAAGTGGGAGGAGGCACATTTCAAGAGTTCTTCCGAATGTAGCAGTTAGCAAATTCGTCGCATTTTTGAGTGCTGATTTTCGATCGATTTTGCTTTAAGACGCGCCCGGGTGGACTTCAAGGCGCAACCGCTGTGAACCTAAATACCTGTTCTAAGCAAAAGGTCACTGATGCTTGTATAAGGCCCGTGACATTGTTTGACCTTCCGAAGGTTATGGTGGCCAATACTGTGCAAGATTGTTTTGATTTTTGCATTGGAATAAGGATCAAGGATTACACTACCAGTATGCTTCTAACAACAAATTGTTTTGCGCGTCATTTCAAATCACTTACCTTCTTGTGTGTCCACGTTTGTATGGGGTTTTAAACTGAAATAACCGTTTTGGAGACCATTCGGTTCAGCTCACAGCCCTGCCTGTCTTAAGACTTACCTGCTCTGTTTTCTGAGCTACGCGCCCACAAAGATGTGCAGAGTACTTCGAGGAAGCTGTTTCTAAATCATCCATGCATCCCACGACGCCATAAGAACGTCATTCAAATCCTGTCATTCCGATAACCAAGTGGCGATCAAGGCCAGGAAAATATAATTGTCGAATCGTTCATATATGGCGTTTGTAAGAACGACTTCGATGTAACGGCCGCCAATTGGCTGTCAATCAACATTGTGTAATTAATGATAACCTAATCAAACAACGACGTATTGAAGGGCTTATTTACTAATCAGAGAAATTGTGTTGTCTGGAGTAGTTTTTCAACGAAAAGTCTACCAATAGTTATAAAAGTGAGTTTTTTTATCATACCTAATGCTGGCCTCAATATATCTGAACGTGGGACATTCCGTTTAAGAGGTCCATGAAATATGTCTGTTGCGGTCCCTGCTATTTATAATTTTAAAACAAGCATCAGAAACTTATAAATACAGCAAGCTCTCGAGTAAAAGCAGATTGGTTTTGACCTCGGTCTGATCTTCCTACTCGGTCCAAATCAATGAAACTTGTTATAATCCTAAATTGAGTTGACTTATTGTCTAAGAAACTATGTCATAGGTGTATGGCTTCGTCTAACACTCCGTTGTTGCATCAGATTGAACGAGTCCCTAGAAATTGTCTTTGCTGACAGCCACGGTCCTACTTTGAACTGCCATTGACCAATGACCTTGCAAGTTACATATATTTTCATACCTGCTATGAACGACCTCTTTTTCTACGAACGATCCAGTATTCAGTTGCCAACCGCTATGTAAAGTTTGGTGCGGTTACGCCAGGCCGTTCGGCACTTATTCTGCAAAAGCATCTGGGAGGTCACCTTGACCGTTGACCTTCAACCTACCCGAACGCGTGTTAATTCTCCGATAACGCGTCGTGGCAGAACTTCGAACTGGCCGCAGCTTGTCACAGTCTAAAGAACGTGAAACACCGCTGAGTCATGTCAGAAGACTCAGGCAAGAACAAGAACAGTAAAACAGAAAATACTTCAGTGCACACCGCACGAACGCGTTCGAACGCGACGAGGTCCGTCAGCAGCACTTTGTTGAAACTGACATTGCAGTTTGCACTTTCTTTTTTTCTTTTACTTGTGAAACAGTCATTAGAAAACTTTAAAACCCATGTCATTTTGAGCTCTTACTTGTGATATTCCGCTTGTGCCTGGGCTCCAAAAGGTTGGGCGGCAAGCTCACCGTTGGAGGCCAAATTGAGCCTGGGGGGGGGGGGGGGGAGGGGCGGTGGCTCACTTAAAATAATACAAATCAACACCTGTGTCGTTAGGTTTTTGCAATTGTTTCATCAAATATTCACGCCGAAGTGAAGGTCGACACGTTCCAAGGGTTCCCCGAACGTAGATGGCTGATAACTTGATTACGTTCCTGGGTGCAAGTATTCCGCCGCTTTGTTTTGATCTTCCGATAAGGCGTCGTGGCAAAATAACACATTTTGCTGCGACCTGTGTGATTGAAACATTACTGAATACTACCAAAACACTCCCACAATAGCACACAAATACGCCAGGCTCAACAAGAGATACATACAACGTGTGGTTAAAAGCATAGCACATGAAAGTTTAACAGAACAAAACTCGAATAAACACGGTACAATCGCGGAGCCTTAAAAGTGTGACTGACAGTCAGGTGCACTCAACCGTACATGACGACGCAGTTGTCATTTTCGTTGGCCCTTTTACCTGTGAAACAATTGGTAAATGTCTTCTTTAAGTTTGATATAATTTCGACCTCCTATTTGTAATGTCCCCCACATGTAATTGGGCTCCAGGAGGTTGGGAGTCAAACTCGCCATTGAGGGGCCAGTCCATAGGATCACATGGGATCGTACTGTGCTCATGACTACCGGTGATCATGAGCGCGGCTTCGAAACATCGCGTGTTGACAATATAGTCAATGCTCACTTGATAACATCGCGTGAACGTTGCCTCGTGGTGCAGTGAACATCGATAACTGGTTCGATTCCCCGTGGTGCCCGTCCTTCACGTCAGGGTTAGTGGCAGACGGCACCATACGGCATCAGCATAAGCAGTGCGCCGTGAAACCCCAACGGCAGCAACAGCAGGTCGACAACTTCCAGTGTCGCTCATTGTTGGATTAGGCTTAGGAGTGGACTTGCTCAAGCTGCCTGCAAAGAACTGAAGGCTTGATCCATTTTATGAAAAGCAAATGCACTCCTGGAGCTTTACTACGCTCGTCATGGTGTGTCAAACTAGCAGCAGAGCGAGCAGCCTCATGAGGCGGGGAGGGGGGGGGGGGACGGCCGAGTGGTTAGCTCCGTGGATTTACGGTGGGGGCCTGTGTGCAGATTCCGGTTGCGCCGTGGTCCCTGAGCGCTCACATGGCCAAAGCAGTCGCTGGCGCTCCATGAAAGGAGTGTGATGACGTGTGTCGTGCTCCCTTTTATAGGCATCCTAGTAACTTGCGGTCACAAACCTCATGCAATTCGTTAGGTGCAGATGACCAGACTTTGCAAAACCATAGCACAAGTGGCCGTTGCTGGAATCCTTGGTGGCGTCTTCGTTATTATGGTTCACTATGGACTTGAGGTTCACTCCAGAGGAATGCAAAAGACCCATGGTTAAGAATGTATCGGTTTAAGTGCTTCATTGGAAATAATTAGGTGGTAAAAGTGACAAACGTTAAGAACCGTTCAATTTTCACGGGGCAACCCAGTCAAAATAATTCAGCTTTAAAGTCATCCATCTTGAGTTGTTAAGTGCTGCATTGTGATGTTGCAGATCAAGATATGGTTCCAAAATCGCCGCTACAAGACCAAGCGCAAGCAGATCCAGCAGGAGATGAGTTCCCAGGCAGCCCGCAAGGTGGCAGTGCGCGTGCTGATGCGGGACGACCAGCTGGTGTACGAGCCGGAGCCGCGCTGCCGTCCGCCCATGCTCTTCCCGCCGCTGTCGCTACCCAGCTTCCCAAGCCTGTACTACCCGTACCTGTACGGCACGCTGGGGCCGCACCTGCTGCCCGCCGCCGCCGCCATCAACGTCTACAGCAGCCTGCTGAACGACGGTCGGCACCTGGCGACGCGGCACGAGCCGGCGCCTGGCGCCGGCTCCGGGGCCGGCGCTGGAGCGGGCGCGGCGCCGGCGCCGACGCGCGGCACCTCCGCCAGCGAGCCCGAGTGAGCCGAGCGACGGCCAGAGAGCGCTGCTGTGTTAAGTGGTTCCGCTGTTGTCGCTTGTCGGAGCATTGGTACCGACGGGAGATGGTTTTACATTGGCTGATGGGCTGAAGGAATAACGAATCATTTGGCATGAGAGCCAAATTGGGGTACTGCGTTCCTATGTAGTCGATGATAATTGCTCTTGATATTCACGCTGTTGGAAACCACCCGACATCGTCGACCGGTTCGTCAATATTTATCAGTGATCTCTGAGCGATATTATATTGGAGGTGACTGCTCTTTAACTTGTTTCCATTGACACTGGATTGTTTTATCGCGTACTTCCCTTCTTAGTTCATGTAGAATGCATTAGGTTTAAGTGCGTTCAAATGTTGCCGTTGCATGTCGTGGCACCCAAAACACTTTATACTATGGCGGTACTCTGCCCCTCTCTCTATGCACATTTCCTTTTTCTCTTCCTCTTTCCCCCTTCTCTCCCACTTATCTACAGCTCAACCGACTTGAGGGCTTGCTCCGACCCTGCATTGCACGGTGCCAGGATGTTATGATTGCCCGAGTGTCTGTGGGGTCATCGAGTATCGTTGTCACGTTGAACAGCGATCTGGTAGATTGCGAAAGCATATTTATTTATGGCTCGGATCCAGCCTTTCCGACGTATGTACTTGATACCCAACAATGTCCTCACTCTTGGCGACTCGCAGTCGCTCCCTGAACCTAGGCTACGCGGGCAATAACGGCCTCGTGAGAGCCGCTCGTGAGAGGTTGGGTTCTAAGGGTTGCGAAATATCGTTGGCATCGTCCACGATGCGTCGAGACCGTCTGTGACAGCGTTAAGAGAGTCGCCGCGGAAGCCTGTAGAGGGACTTGCTTCGGGACTCCCGTCAGTAGGGAGCAGTGAACGTCGCGTCCAACGAGTGGCGGGCCTGTATGGTGGTCCGTGAACTCGCTCTGGTGGGCGCTCAGTCTTGGTTGTTATGTTGTGGTGAGTGTAACATCAATGTCGAAGCACATATGGTGTCGAGTCGAGCACAAAATATATAGGCCTCAACAAAGTGTGAAGCCTTTGCTGCGCGTTGACCTAATCGTCGAGTACTCGGACTGCGTGTGTGCATCGTCCGACAGCTGCCATGGGCGTAAATCAGCAACGCGCTCATCAGCTGATGGAGACCCCGAACCGTTTAACCGTGATAGCCGAGTAGGTCACATCCCTCCCCCAATTCCCTTCCCTCCAGCCCCATCGGAAACAGCCACACTTAATGACCGTCTTTTGCCACTTCCGATGTCTCTAACCCTTTCCAGATTTGCATAACAGGCTGCCTTGGGCGGCGGCGTGGCAGCTCTCGTTCTCGCCGCCCGCCCGCTCGGCCGGCACGCAGCCGCCGGGTCATCAGCGCCGCGCCTCGCACGTCCACTGGAGCGCTGCCATCCAATGTGCAGCCGGTTTTATACAAATGATTGGGTGCCAATTGGCCGAGCACGGCCTGCGCTCGTTAGGTCCCATTGTCGGCGGCAAGGGTCATTCTAAACTGCCGCCGCGCCGTGCCGCGAATACGAGGAGCCGGCGCGAGCACGGGCTGCGAGAGGGGGAGAGGGGGGGGGGGGGGCGACGAGTGCGGCCCGGCGGCTGGCTGCGACTTCCGCGGTCGGGGAGCGGGCCGCTGCCGCGGCACGGCACCGCTACGTCGCAGGCAGCGATGAGCTGTTCGCGCGGCGTTTGGCATCCGGCTGGATGAGTGTTCGCTACAGGAGAGCCGAATAGCGATGGTGTATGTCCGATGGTACAGCAGGACATGGAAACGGGGGGGGGGGGGGGGCGATGTGGCAATCCTCTGAAAAAGATGACGGTTGTGGCGAAGGGGATGTGACTTTTAAGTAATCGCTTTCCAGCTGGCACCGTGGGATTATCACCGCATGACAATTCGGATTATGGTAACATGCACTCAAAATGTAGGACGCATGTTCATGGCTGTCAGTTATCTTAAGTATGGTGGTCGTTGTCCTGGCAACGGGGCGCACGAAGCCAAATGTACAAACCACGACAAATGTCACGTGACGGCTTTCAGAAACTGGCGTAATATTTGGTTTGTAAAATCGTAAGTACACAGTAATGCTTGGCGTAAGATTGTACTTACGCTTCGACAAACTGCCTACAGGAAGGACCCAGCAACAGCGCAGGGCCCTCCGAACAACTACAAAGAAATCAAGGGTAACGTGGACGGCTCTCCAAATATCGGAGTGGCCCTACGAGTGAGCATATAGGTCCCTGGAAACAGCATAGAGCCCCTGGACAGCGTGGTCAGTCTTAAAATTCCCAAATGACAGCCTTTTTAATCCTTGAAGAATTGTTCTACTCGTGGGTCCCCCACTTTTGCCTGCGACTGTTCGTCGTCGCCTGGAAGTCTAAAGACGCCTGTTTTTTAGGCTGTGTTGAAAAACTGCATCCGTTCGGCCGGCTATGGGGCGCCGTCGGGGACCAAGGGCGGGAGCATGGCCTCGCGGCCCCCTCTGGACCCACCCCTAGACCAGCTGCTTCAGAGCTGTTATCGAAAGGTGACCTTCCAACGACTAGTCACCATTTCAAGCGGCTTCTATTAAGCTGACACCTTGTGCCCCAGATTATTGCATGCCATTAATTTCTGTGGGTTTAGTTGATTTCCGAGGCTCGTTAATGCCTGGCGCAGGCACGCAAGACCACATCAAATATTTGAAGTGTGAAACACGCCATCGCTGGTATCAGAACCAGTAATTATCTGGCTGCGAGATTGGAGCATGCTTAGGAACAAAGGGTCAACTTTGAACTTTGGGCTCCTACTAACCACCGCCAATTTGGTGAACATCGGCTCCGGTTTCAGTCAGCGATTTCCAATCTGAGGTGCGATGTCGCTGGCAGTGTTTTCGAGGTTCCTAAGAAGTGATTAGCCCGTCATGTCAGTGGCTAATGGACTCTTGCTGATATTTGTTTTAAAAGCTTCTGCAAGACGTCAGAACACCACTCGCTATAGACACATTTACGGCCATCAAGTAAATAGATTGATGACATTTGATCAATTTCGCCTTCAAGCAGATTTAACACGCACACGGGTGGCCGGCTAAATACCCTTCGCCCGGGTGGGGGTCAATTTGACCCACGCTAAGATCTCGGGGACTAAGAAAGCTGGAGACACCAAATTTGCAGGGTGTGTTGACCTGTACGTAAAATTACTTAGGTCAAAGTTTGAGGTCGCTAAGTCATGACCTTCGGGTAAAATAAGGTAAAATAAGGTTAAATTTCAGGTTGGTCTCCAAAGTACCCCAGAACCTAGATAATTGTTTCTAGGCAAAAGGTCACAAGCTCACTTAAGGTCAGTGACCTTGCTTGACCTTTTGAAGGTCATGGTGACCAAAATCATACAGGACTGCCCTGAGTTTTGCATTTTAATAAGGGACAAAGATTACGCTTGGCAGTATGTTCTTTAAAAAATGCCGACCTGGTTCATCTTAGGTCAATAACCTATTATGACCTCTAAGGAGTTAATTATAGATGCATGATGCGGTTCCTGCTATCAATGAATTCAAAATGAGCACCGGAAAATACCCCATACAGCAAGCCCTAGAGCAATAAAACAGTTCGGTTTTGTCCTTGGTCTGACCTTCATACCTGACCTTAGGTCAATTTCACTTGCTCATTCAATGCCTGTGTTGCCTAATAAAGCGTCTCAAAGATGTATAGCTTCGTCAAACACTTCGTTGTTGCATCAGATTGAACGATTCCCTAGAAATTGACTTTGCTGAAACCATAGCCTAAATTTGACCTGCTATAAGTCCGTGACCTTACAAGGTACATCTAAATTTCTTACACCAAACGATCCGCTATTTAATTGTGAACAGCTATGAAACATTTGGCGCGGCTACGCCGCACCGTTCGGAAACCATTCTGGAAAAACCTTCGGGGGCAGGGTCAATTTGAACCCCCACCCCAGCGCGTGTAAAACGTGGCTCATTGCCTGGCTTACTATTGTCAACACAAGTGATGCCATGAGGCCATTATTGTAGGTGAACAGATGAGGACAATTCCCTTGCTGTGCATTAATTAATTCCCATTTGGCAGTTTGGTATAAAAACCGGTGGCGATGCAAGACCCCCAGCCCTGCTTACGCACTAAGACGGCACCTGCCCATCCACGCAGACGCGTCACTGGGGCCCAAGCATGCCGTTCTTCCCACGTGCTTTCGGGCTAATGAATCTCTCAAATGACGCATATCTGCTTCTTCATCAACTGCAATAGATAAATATGCATTTTTCATACATGCGTCGCTTTAAGATACCGACAAATATCGTCAACTAATTCCACAAACTGGACCTTGCGCCTTTTTGTGGCCTGCAACGTGTTATATTGATTAGAATTGCAGTATCCGCCATGTACAGTTAAGCCGGAACACAGGAGAAGTGTTTCCTTTAACCAGAATAGACTTAGGGGCAAAACTTGGTTCGGTCTTAGATAATCACAAATTATACATGCATTTTCTCAATGAGGCAAACTGTCAAATTCTTGACATTTTCAATAAAATGTAGTAGGTCAGAGAGTTTGTCCACCTTGAGCCATATACCTTGAATCATCGTGAGTGTAAAAGTATGCAAAACCTATTCATTTTCAATAAATTCGGTTCAGCCTGTTTTATTTGAAAAGTGACTCATCCTTGCAAGCGGACGAACATCGACGAGCATCCCCCCATTTCTTTTGTCGTCTAGCTTTACGCACTTAAGCCACCCAGCTTCTCTTCGTGCTCGAACTTTGTCCATGTTACGACTTTACACCGGACACTTTAAAGTATTTGGAGCTTTGACTGCAACCCCTTGCAACATATGCAACGTTATATTTGATCGCCATGGGAGAAATCTGTCCGGACTTCTACAGAGCATTGCGATGAAGCAATATTGTGCAGCATTGTCAAGTTCTGACTAGTCTTAAAGTTTCCCAGTTGACCTCTTGCGTGAAAATTTCGACCCCCGTAGATCGGGTTA